CTCGAGAATGTTGATTGATTTTAGAGAGATAGGGAGAGGGAGAGAGAAAAAAAGAGAAAGAGAGAAACATCAATGTGAGAGAAACATCACTCTGTTCCTCTGGTATGCACTCATCATCAACTGGGTACTGAACCCACAAACTTTTTTGATATAAAGGTCCATGCTCTCACCGGCTGAGCCACCGACCAGGGCCACAAAGAAACTTTTTAATGCGATGGAAATGTCATATATCTTGATTGTGGTAAGGATAACAATAAGTATTCAATATATATTTGACAAAATTATTCATTCAAAATTGATGCATTTTATTATACATAAATTATAGCTCACTAAAGTTTTAATATTTTCTGCACAAGACATAAACAAGATTTTTCCTTTATAAAACAGGAATAATAATGGTACCTACTTTATATGTGCTATGATGAGTAAATAGGTTAGGATTAGCATCAGGTCATATGAAACACTTAGGGCTTGGAATATAACAAAAATTCAAAAAAAATTAACGGGATAAAACTTTCTTAAAGATAAATAACTGCAAAACAGAGTCACTATAAAACAGTGGTTCTCAATGGGGGGCGGGCAATTTCACCTCCAGGGGACACTGGGCAATGTCTGGAGACATTTTTGACTGTCCTGACTAGAGGGGTGCTACTGGCATCTAGTGGACAGAGGCCAGGGATGCTGCTAAAACATCCTACGAGGCACAGAACAGTCTCCTCAATGAAGAACCCAAACTGTCAGATAATTTCTGACAAAGTTTTTGCAGAGGCTGAGAAACCCTGCTGTAAACAAAAGGACACAACAATCCATAGACGGAAAAAGATACTGGGGTGGGAAAAAGTAGGTTTACAGTTGTGAGTACACAAAACGGTTTATTCTTGTACTATTATTTATTAATTGCATTGTTTTCCATACAAACTGTAAACCTACTTTTGCCCACTCGTTTAAAATACACATAAAATTCAAATCCAAAATGGATGGAGATATATATATATATATATATATATTTCCTACAAATCAAAAAGAAAAAAATGGAAAAAAGAGCAAAGAATAAGAACAAGGCCAATAAATAAGAAAATATCCTCAACTCCGCAGGGAAATGCAAAGTGAGCATGCTTCGATAGCATTTTAAAACCAATGAAGAAGCAAAAATAAAAAATTCTGACAATACCAAGTGTTGGTGACAATACATAAGAACAACAATTTATATATGCACTGCAGGTGAAAGGGTAGGTTATTATAGCCATATACGGATACTTAATATGAATGCTTGTGATACAGAGATCTGATCAGATACCTGGGGAGAAAGAGGGAGGGGCCATAGGAGGAGTTTGCCGAGGCAGTAAGTCTAGGGATTGGCTGAGAAGCTGAATGCCTCCAGTGCGCAAGGAATTATGGGCAAGATTTGAAATAAAAGAAGGGCTCTCAGGGGCTCAGGGGCTCAGGGTCTGCCGGGCTCTCTCTCCGGCTCTCTCCCCCTCGAGGATGCCTGGATGCTCTGCTGCAGCTGCATGCATTTCCTAGCTGATGGTATTTGGGATGGGAAGGAACCCCGCGGGCAGCTTAGGATCAGGCTGGCCTGGCACAGGGTGGCAGAGTTATTCTTCTTTGGGTGCTCTAGAGGGGACGACCTTTGAGGCGGAAGCCTGCCATTCTTCCAAAATTATGTAGCTTCTATTACGTTGTTTTAGTTTGTAAACTAACCCTATAGAAATAAGATAATTAAAACGAACAGGAGGAAATGCTAGGAGAATGCAGGTGTTAGAATTTAGCCTTAATTAATAGGCTTAAGTGAGTAATGCAAGCGGAAAGCTGCTATTCCAAAATTGTGGAGCTTTTGAATAAAGACTCCTTTCTTTTATCACCAAGCCTTTGCCTCTGGAATTTTTCTTAAGGGTGGTGGTGGGCAGCAGGACCCCAACTGCTGCTTGGTAATACACGTACACATATATGCATTCTTATTTATACATGAGGATGAAAAGTGATTAATGATAGTAGGTAGCTCCAGGGATGAAGAAAGAGGGATGGGAGAAAATTACACCTTAATTTAAATTACTGCATTGCTCTCTGAAAGTTGTAAGCTTTTAAATGATTGCCATTCACTGAACACGTATTATATATCAGGTAATATGTAAGATAGGTACTTTATATACTTCATCTTTTATTCTTCACAACAAATATATGTTGTAGATATTATTAGTTCCTTTTTATAGGTGAATAAATTGTGTCTGAGAGATTAAATAATTTACTCAAGGTACACAGCAAGAGGCAGAGCCAGGATTCAGGCCAAGGGCTTTCTACTGCAAAGCCCAATCCGGTCTCTCCCACAGTGGTACAGTATTATGACTGAGGCACTAGGGTTTCACAAAAGTAAAGCATTCTTGGAGGTATTTCTAGTTTTCAAAGAAATAGTCTCAATCAAGATAATTCTCAAACAGGGTAACGATAAATAGGATGGCAAAATGCACAGTAAGCAAGGAAAATGAAAGCTACAGACTACTCCCTGAGAAGTGTATAGATATGAAATTATGTATATAATTTCAGTGGTTCACAAACTTCCTAGGTGATGGTTCATGTCTTTCCTACTCTCTAGTCCTCTTCAATATTCCCTCATGCTATCATTTTTCTTTTTAGATGTAATGTACAATTATTTAGTTACATAGATTTCATGTTTTCTACAACCTAGCTAATTTTGAGTATGTTTTCTTTCCCCCAAGAAATACATCTAAACTGGTTACTTAATCTGTCCTTGTGGTTTTCAACTGAGTGTTTTAATATGAATCTTTAGATGGGAAAGACAGACGATGTCCGTAGTGTGTACTAGTTCAGAGTTATGCTAGATCCAGCACACCATCTCTTTATAAACATTTGTGCTATGCCAACAATGGAATTAGTGAACACTTGTGGGAAGACTTAAAGTTACAGAAATGCTCTACAAGGTCCTAATTTTTCTTAATGGTTAAAAAAGCATGTCAACCACAAATTTTAAACCTAGTTATATTTTCAGCCTGCGTAACATTTAGAGGGAAACTATGACATAAAATGACTAATCAGTTTGGCAATTACTATTACCTCCTTGGAACTTAAATAACATCTCCTAACTCTAATATACAGGAATATAATGTTCAAATCTGTAGTTAATCTGTAAGTATCTTCTGGATTTTGACCATAACATCCTTCTTTCCGTAATTGAGAACAATTATGTCATAAAGATTGTCTGCATGCTGCAACTTTTTATTTTTATCTAGGAAAAAGTCAGGGTAGTAGAAAGACCGGACATTGAAGTGCTTAAAACCTTGAGTTGCAACCTGGCTCTGTAAACAAGCTAGCTGAGTGATTTTTGCACAAGTTACTTCGCTTGGCTTCCTGAACTGCTTCCCCCCACCCCCACTTTGTAAAGCATGATGAAATACCCATCTCAGAATGATGTTCTAAGGGTGAAATGAAATAAAGCATCTTTGTTACCTCAAAGCTATTTCTAGTTTCTAAGCTCCCTGAAAGTAAGAGCACGTGTTCCCTGGAATCCTCGCCAGGAACCAGTGTAGTGCTTCCCACAGCGCAGAAACTCCGCGAACCCCAGGGACTGCCCCTGGAGAAAGTTTCTAGCTTTTGGGTAAATACTTCGCTATTACTCCTCTTTTTGAGGCAGCCCTAATTCCACAGGTGTGTTCTAGTATCAGATAAACCGCAGAAGTTTATATAGAAGTGTTTTAATGACATTTTTATTCTGTCAATAACCTTTCCACAGCTTCTCATGGTTTCTCGCGTACAATTCAAACTCTTCACTACGGCCCGGTGATCTGTTTAGTTTCAGCTGATTTTCCTCCCTCACTTTAGACTTTCTAGCCACACCTGACCTCCATCTGCTCCTCAAATACGCGAAGCTTATTCCAGCCTCAGGGTCTGTTTTCCTGCGCTGCCTCTGGCTAGCTTCACAGGCTGGGCTATTTATAACATTAAGCTCAAAGGTGGCCTCCTGAGAGTCCTTCCTTCGATTACTCACCTCCCCCGTTACCCTATTTTATTTTATTCGCAGAATAGCGCTCAGTACTATGGCAAAAGTCTTGTTTCAAGTGAGGGCAGGGGCTGTGTCCCTTTGTTCGCAGATGTGTCCCCAGTGCCCAGAACTGCCCTGGCCTCCAGTAAACGGGCGATCCCTGGGCTACAACTCCTCCTAAGGTCCACATCTTGGCTTGCAGACTGGAGCGTGGGTGTGGGTGGGAGGTAGTGTGGGGCGTTCACTGGCTGCGCTAACGGCTTCCCAGAACAGGTCCCTCTCCTCGGTTTTAAGGGCGAGAACCTCTCGTCCCCACGGGAGACCTGACCGGGAATGTGGGAAGCACCTCCTGCCAGCCGCAGCAACTGTCGGGATTGTAAATTCCAGGGCAGGGATGAGTTAGGGCGCGGCGGAAGGCGTGTGGCCACAGCTGTTGGCCCTAGCAAGGTGCGTAACGGTAGGACAGCTGCCCTCGCGAGGCTTCCGGAACACGCACGTGAGCCGTGAGCCAGGTGAACCTCTTCCCGCCGAATCAGACGGGGCCGCGGAGGGCACCAGCACCCGGTGGCGTCGGCCTCTCGCACCCGTCAGACGCCTCTAAGTGGGGGACTGCGAAAGGGAAGCGTCCGTGAAAAAGGCGGGCCTCCTCTCAAAAGCACTGAGAGTTTAGTTCTAGCCACCAGAAAACGGCTTTCCCGGAACCGACTAGAACACTCACCGGAAAGTGTAGGCGGCACAGATGCCCCGAAGGAACATTACTGGAGGGAGGAGCCTTTGGGAGGAAACGAGGGATGGAGCGCGGAGTCTGCACAGCCGCAGTAGACATTGCACGCCCTCCCGCCGGCCTCGCAGCCGGGTCGGTCGAGAGCGCCCAGGGTGGGGCGCCGGGCTGGGGCGGAGCCAGTCCCTCGCCCGCGATGACGCGAAGGGTGTCGGCGGAAGGATGTGGACGCGCAGGCGCCGCGGTTGCTCGTTGATCAGGGAGGCGGGGCCGCGCAAGCGCCTTGAGCGGCGGTAGCGGCGGCGGCGGTGGTGGTAGCGGCAGCAGCTGTGAGGGGGTTCCGGGAAGATGGTGCTGATTAAGGAATTGTGAGTGGATCCGTGGGCGCGAGCGAGGTTCCAGGACGGCTGTGGTGGGAGGTTCACTGATTGGGAAGTGGTGGGATATTCCTGAGCGGGAGTGAGGCTCCGGCCGGCCGCTCCCTTCGCGCGCTCCCTCCTCCCAGCTCGCCCCCCCGGCCCACTCGAGGCCCCTCCAGGGCGCTCCCCCAGGTTCCTCGTCCAGTGGTGGCTGTGGTAATACTGCTCTCCTCTCTCCCAGGATAGAGACGGCTGTGTCCCGGCCGGAGCTCGTGGCTTGAGACGCCGCGGCCAGGAGTTTCCGCTGGGACCCATCTCCCTGCCCCCCCTCCTCTAGGCCCCCTGGTGGGACCGAGGGTGGGAGAGAAGGGGTTGGTTTGACAGTGATTTGTCGCCTGGGGTGGAGCCTGCCTGTGACCCGAGGGAGATTGGCCTGCCGGGTGAGGGCTGTACGGGTGTGTGAACTCGAGGTGGGACCTGAGTGCCTTGAAGTTCATGCGGGAGGCCGGGGAGTCCTGAACACCTGCGCCTCACTGGGCAGCGCACTTGACCTGACAGCAGAGCCATCTCTCTGCTCTCAGTCTCAGTTTCCCTGTCTGTAAGGTGAGGTGGTACTCTAGGCTCCACCTACTTTACAAGGTTGAGGTGAGGCGTTAACACGTGGTCTGTCAAATAGAAGGGTTTCCAGGAGGGTTAGACCAGCGATGTGATTTTGTTGAATGGTTTTGCATTTCCCTCCCGCAAGGACTGAGTATCCCAGGAAGCCTGGTTAGCAGTGATTATTCGGCCCTCACTGTTGGTTCGTTTCATCATCATCCCTTGGGCACCTAGGGATTTCTATTATGGCCCTTCTTTGGTTTTTCAAATGCTTCTTACATTTTAAATCTTTCCTTTCTTTACAAGGGAAGTGATTCCTGTCGCTTCTCTGCTTAAAACCATCAAAAGATTCCCTGTGTTATTGAGAATAAAAGTCAAAGCCTTTAGAACAGCCTAGGAAGTCGTACACTTTTTTTTTTTTTTGGTTCTTATTTTATGTGCTGCCCTTCCCTTGCCCAGGCCAAGCTGACACGCCTCTTTGCTGTTTTTCCATTTCGCTAGGACAGAAAAGCTCAGTTCAGTGCCTTTCTGCTTTCTCTTCCCTCTCTCTCTGAAGTGCTCTTCTTGAGTCTCACTAACTCACCTCATTCTTTTAGGTCTTTTCTTAAATATCACCTTCTTAGGGAATCCCTCTCTGAAGACCTAATTGTAACCCCCACCTTTTGGTATCTGTTTTCCCTGCTTTGTTGTTCTCCCATAGCAATTATCACCATCTACCATGCAACACAATAATTTTGTCTTTTTATTATATGTGTTCTCATACTGCATGTAAGCTCTATGAATTTGTCTTGCTCATTTCCATGCCCCCAGCTCTTAGAATAGTACCTGGAACATAGTAAATGCTCAAGAAATATTTGTTAAGTAAATTAATGAAAAATTATAACCGGTCAATGACAGGGATCCTGAGAAAAGACACATTTCAGTTAAAGCTTATTTATAGTATTGAACTTTGGACTTACATAAAAGTTTTCTTCAAGTTTTCTATACAGTGTGTCATGCGTTATCATTTACTACTATGACATCTTTGTGATGATGTATGTAGGTGGCAGATATTAAGACAAATTGAGGAAATAAGACAAGGAAATTGATTTGGCTCAGGTCACATAGCAAGTGAGTTGCAGAACTGATTTTAGATCACAGGTCTAGTAATTTTGCTTTTATTAGAGTAATTTCCTCCCTCTTAAAATGTGAATTGTGTTCAGTAGATTCTGTTGACAGTTATGTGAGGAGTATCAAGCTAACTTAGGGAAAGCAATTCCCATTGGGAAGTAATACACTATGCTTTTTGTGAACCATTACTTTCATGATAAAATTTGAATGCACTATGGTAACAAATGTCAAAATGTGCCCAAAGTATAATATTCCCTAAAGTTATAAATTACATTTCTGGATAGTCACTCTTCATGTATGTTTCCCCTAGAATTTATTTTCTCCTAGACTTTAAAGATAGAGATTATTTCTTATTTTTCTAAGTATTCCCAGTGTCCAACAGCATCTAGCCTGGCATACTGTATGTACTCAGTGTTGTTGAATGAAAAAAATGATTCTTCCTATTTGCAAGTCAACTTTCTAAAATTGTTTTTGGTCAGGAGCAATGACTGGGTTGTTACTGTGTGAAGATGCTGGTAAACTGTAAAACACTTTGGCAAATGTGTGTTGTCTTTAAAAATGCCATCTATTTTTGACATGAAGAGGTTAGAAATGACTTTTCAGGGTGGGAGCTCCCTTCAAGTTGTTACTTAAGTAAGCAATAAATGAAGTTGCCATTAGCATAAAGTCCCGCTTTTAAAGAATTAGTTGCTAGTTCCATTTGGAAAATTATTTTCATGAGGATTTTTAGAGAAGTTCAAAAATTTTCAAATACAGGCATACCTCAGATATGGCGGGTTTGGTTCCACACCACTGCAGTAAAGTGAATATCATAGTGAAACAGGTCACACGAATTTTTTTGTTTCGCAGTACAAATGAGTTATGTTTACACTGTACTGAAGTCTGGTAAATGTGTAATAGGATTATATTTCAAAAAAAGTACATAACTTAATAAAAAAATTCTTTTGTGCTAAAAAATGCTAACCATCATCTTGGCCTATTGGAAAAATGGTGCCAGTAGACTTACTAAACACAGGGTTATTGTTGGGTTGGCCAAAAAGTCTGTATGGTTTTTTTTTCCTATAAAATAAAAGATACCTTTTTCATTTTCACCAATAACTTTATTGATTTGGATATTTTATGTTGACTATTACCCACATGGTATACTGTTGATCGTTTTCAATTAATGTCTCAGTTTGATCACTATCAGTTTCAACTGATCTACCAGACCCCATGGAGCATTGTCTAGTGAGAAATCCCCAACACGAAGCTTCGCAAACCACTTTTGACACATTCAGTCAGTCACAGCACCTTCTCCCTACACCACACAAATCTTTTTGCATGTCAGCTGGATTTTTACCTTTCTTGAAATAATAAAGCACAATACACCAAAAATGTTGCACATTTTCTTCCAACCTCAATATTAAAATAGATACCCCCCAAATTCACCAATTTTGATAAGATTTTTTTTTTTTTAACGCATGCTGATACGACAGCTGTCACAATACAGTCTAACAAAAATGGTTTCGAATGAAGTTAAAGACAAATAGGTGCTACTAGAGCCATCTACAGAAAAAAACAAATGAACTTTTTGGCCAACCCAATACAAACCTTCAGTTCGTTAAAAAAAAAAAATGTAATACCTAATCTGTGGAGCACAATGAAACAGAGTATGCCTGTTCATATTTCTCCCGCTATCTGAAAGTAGAGCATTCTTATGAAACCTTTTGTTAGCCGAACAGTGTAAAACAAGCAGTTGCAATTAATTAATGCATTCGGCTCTTGGAACAACGCATGGGGTTGGAGCACCAACCCTTCCTCTCCCCCCCCCCACTTAAAAATAACTGTAGACTCCCCCAAAACTTTGTTGTCCCTTGGTACCCACAGAAGATTGGCTCCAAGATCCTTGCAGATACCAAAATCCACTGATGCTAGGTCCCCTGTATAAAATGTCACATAGATCAGTGCGTACAATCAGTTCTCTGCTTTTTCAGACTCCCATCCACTAATTGAAACGGTACAGGCATTTATTGGAAAAAATCTGTGTAAAAATGTACTTGTGCAGTTCAAACCTATGTTGTTCAACGGTCAGCTGTCTGAAAAATTTTTGAGCATTTCCAGAGTTCCCTCAAAACTTAAAATCATATCAAATATGGTTAATTGCATCCAGTTTTATGCTAAGTGTAATGCCTCTACGATCTCAGGCTCTTCTGATATCTTAGGACACATCTTGCTAAGAGATGCACAGAGTAAATCGAGATAAAGCACAGATGCTCACCAACACAGTTCAAAACTATGGCAGCTTGATGCTGAAATCCTGAGTGTAGTTCTTTGGGCGAGGAGCTTGGCGGGGGCCACTCTTGCTGCCTGGGGTTGCAGGCTGCCTCTGTGACAGTCCTGCAAAACAAAACACTGAACACTCTTCACTTTTCTCCTTTATTCGCAAAATCCTCTGTGTATTTCTTTCAGTTAGTGAAATAGGTTTTATTGTAGGTCTTTCCTGAAAGTGAGGTAGGAAACTTTAAAAATATAAGTGATACCTATACTGCTTTTAGACCAGTAATAGAAAATCAAAATCTACCTATTCCTTCTCTTTCTTATGCTTTATTAAGTAAATCTTGAAGAAGTTACTTGACTCATCATTCATTGAGAGTATCTTAATCAGTCACTTTCACTTTGTGAAATAAGTTTTCCTAGAAGTGTTATATAAAAACAGGGATCTTCCTGCTGGAGAGAAGTTACATACTAAAATTACTCGGCAGAGATTGTTTGGCTTCGTGAAACTTCAGGGAAGTCTTTAACTCTTAACTCTGTATTCCTTCCATTTCCTCTGCAGCGTGTCATCTTGGTTCAGACCTTTGTAAGACCTTGCCGAGCCTCTCAAAAGATGACTTTTTCCCCATACTCCTGCTCGTCAACCTTTTTAACCTACTGATGACTTCTTCAGGTTAGCTGTAGTTATCTACCTTACCTTTTGGAACAGCCTCCCAGGATTCCTTGTTGCCTAATAAATTATATTACTGAGTTCTTACCATTATATTGCAGGCTGTGGTAATATTCTCCCAACCTATATTATGGTCTCTATCTTCTTACAACTTTCAAAATCTGCTCCCAGCCTGTATCCTAGTCGTCCCCTTGACGCCACTGCACTCCCTCTGCCCAAGTTTATTTCTCTGAATGAGCCAATGAGCAAGTTAGTGTGTCCCCGGAGGAGACAGCTAATATGACCAGGTATGGAAGGACTTTGTATAACCAGTTAATTCTTGATGAGAATAGAAATTTTTGACCATTGTGACTTTGTTAATGTTCATTGTCTTTGAGAATGTTCATTGTGTTTAGGTGATCATTATCAGAAAGAGAAAGAGTGATGGGTGATCCCCAGTAGTCAAGGAGGAGGGAATTACAGGAGAAATGTTTTATACGTGGTGAAGGTTAAGGTGATGTGAGTATTCAAACATAGATGTTTGAGGAGAATAGGGAGAGAGAAGTAGGGGGGAAGTGGAGATAAAATGTTGGAATGGGGAAAACTACTGGGAATTTCCTATGAGCTGACCATGGTGAGATTTTTCCCCTCTTCTGCTTATAATGGAAAGAATAAGAGTGCCATTTACTGCTGTGGTAGCTTAGTGGTTTGAAGGGAAGGTCTCTAGAAGGATCTCTCTCTCTCTCTCTCTCTCTCTCTCTCTCTCTCTCCCCCTCTCTCCCTCCCCCCCCCCCTTCTTGCTCTTTTGGACGTCAGCTATTACAAGACAATTGGTGTTCAGCGTGGTTTTCAGAGTTTATGGTAGAACTAAGTAAAGATACTTCCGTATAAAAAATCTGGAGATAAAATGCAGTATTCTGATAAAACATAATTCACTATGGTATTCTTTTTTGGAATTCACCTTCAGGAATGGTACTCCATATTGGTCCTTTTGTATGTCCAATAACAAATCCTCTTGGAGAAGATCAAACATGTATCAACCTTACACTAAATCTACCCCAGAAGGGGTTGTTATATGTATAAAGCTTAAGGTAGTTTCCATAAAGCTTTTTCTTACTAAGTCTAAAAAACTATTTACTTGTTTTTCTCTTAATACAATTGTGAAGTAATTGGGTAGCAGGGATCAATTTTGGGAAGCATTCATTCATGAAATTCAAGACATTATTGTGTGAGAAGTGTCAAAAAATGGATAGTATATAGATGGAGAATGAAAGCATATTAAAATTTCACGAGGGCAACCTGACCAGACAGTGTACAAATAATACATTCTGTACCCTGCAGTTTTCAGATGAAATTGAGCACGTTCAAGGTAAATGACCTTACCACCCTGCAGTTTTCAGTGATGAGTTTTCTCTTGTTCATTTCTCCTCACAAGAATCTCTGCAGCTGCATTTTCGGGGTCCAGGTACAGTTTGGATGCTAAATGCAGTGATTGTTGAGAATCCAGAATGGTAATTTTATTTTCCCAGTTAAACACTTAGTTAGAGCTGCAGGCATTGTAAATGACAGGCTTGTACCATGCTATCATTGGATTTACAGTAGAAGCTCTTTTAAGCATATAGATGTGTTTTAAAGCCACCTATTTCATATGTTACATATATTGTTTTTCCTTTTATATTTTTAGCCGTGTGGTTTTGCCCTGTTCTGTTCAGGAGGTAAGTCATGCTTGCTTTTGTGTTATTTTATTGATATAGTTCATTTTGATATGTTAATCTAAAGTTATATTTTTGTTGTGTTTATTTACCTTTACATTTTAGTTTATCTGACAAAACAAATTATGGTGTGTTAACAGTTGTTACACAGATAATTACAGATAATTGTAAGTGAATTGCTGTTAAACTGTTTTGTTTTCTAAGGGTCTAAAGAGTGTAGTGGAACTTCCTGTCTAGTACAGAAATTTTGTTTACAATAGTCCAGAGAAAGGAGGTTCCAGCCTCAACTTAAGCAATTTAAGGTTAAGTAACTTGCTTAGAGAAGCAGCGTACTTTACTGTTGGATTTTTTAAACATTTGTCTTTACTTTAAACCGAAATCTGCTTTCCTATAATGCTTGACTTGTTTAAGTTCCTGCCACTTGAGCAATGGGAAATAGGCCTGTCCTGTCTTGCATATGGTAACCCTTCAGGTTTTCTTTTGGAAGTTCTTTCTCCTCCCCCACTCCCTTTTGTTCCATCTTCTCGAGGTTACAAGGTTAAACATTCCCAGCATGTTCATTTGGCTTAATGTAACATGACCTCTAGACTTCCTCACCAGCTGGTCTCACTGCTGCATGGTTGTAGTTATTGCTTTCAACTGAAAATGGTATTCCAGACATGTTTGACCAGCACATAACTGAGAGATTGTTGTCTCTTGATTTGCATGTGATACAGAAATACATCACCAGTTCAGAAGTTGCATATTCTGCAGTTTTAGTTACCTGTAGTATAGCTAAGAACTGGGATAATAAAAGCATGTAGCTTTTATGAAAGATACATGTAGCAAAACACATAAAGCCTCCTGGGTCCTTCTGTAACTCACACACGGTTTGCCCTTGCTCAGTTATCTGGTTTTCTTAAAGCTGACAGTAAATTAGAAGCAGTGAATTGGAAGTGGGACAAAACAAACTGATAACCTAAGAAGTGACAGCTGACAGGAGACAGAAAGAAAAAAAATAAAACGCAGGAACTGAAAACGAATAGCTATCTGGCACTGTTTAATGTAGGCTTGAACATAGTTGTGTATATCTCAGCAGTGCCTGAGGTTTCACTGTATTAAAACACTCAAGACAAGCCACATACCCCTATTCTTTACTTGTATAATTGATTGTTTGAACGCGATTGTGGAAATTGACATTTGTTTTAATTTTTTTTCTTTTGGTTTTAGATAGTTGGATCAACTTACTGAAATCTTTCTGAGATTTCATATTGTCACTAAAAATAATCTTAGCTCTTTGTTACACAGACTTGATAAATATGCTTCCTGTCTTTATTTAAGTTAATCTTTTAAAAATGACAATGAAAGTCTAGTAGAATGCCACACATTATTAGTCCACTAAGAACATGTTTTTGGATACTGTTGTTTCTGTGTAAATTTTTGTTACTATTTATGACCAAGATCAAATTTACCTTTTGACTTAGATATTTTATTCCTATTTTTAAAATATGAAAAGTGTTAGAAAGTACTTTTTAAGGACTTAAGGATTGATTGTAGTACTACTGGACTAACACTGATGTAGTTTTTTGAGAACCAAAAAAAGAAATACAACCCTCTCTGCTCTCTAAAACCCCTACAGAAACTGCTTTTTCATTCATTTAAAAAATCTTGGTTCCAGTTTCCTGAGAGACAGAGACAGAGAGAGAAGGAGAGAACAAGGAGGGAGGGAGGAGAGAGAAGCAAGAGAGAATGAGAATTAACCTGCAAGATAGCATCGTGTTCCCATGGGCTTTTTAAAAAGATAGGAATATTTACAGAGCTTACAGCTACCCCTATTTTTTGTCCCTCAAATAAAATGTCGGTTTTGAATTACTAGTTTGTAGAGCTAGCTTATCTTTGAAAATATGCTAATAAAAAAAGAAAAAACATTTTTTCAGGCTGTCTTCATTGGGAGGAAGAAAGTTAGCCAGATTTGAAGAGGTCGGAGATAGTGTTATGGTTGTCATTAGGACAAATTAGAACACAAGAGTTTTGCTTTTTATCATTTTTTGGAATAGTTAGTGACTCCAGCTTGGCATAGAACAATACTGCCCACTCACAGGTGGAACAGACCACTGAGAATTCTGGTTCACTTTAAAATGAAATAGAAACCACTGTCAGCAATTTCTTGCCTTTTCTGGTAATATTTGTATATTTATAATACTTCACAAACAGTTTGTTTACTGGAGAACTTAAAAATTCACAGCTTTGATCCTGGATACCCAATATGGTTTGTTTGGGCAGACAAATGCCAAATTGGGTATGTCATCTATATAAGTCATTGGGAAAAAGACTCCAGAGGTATACTGAAATTTGGACTATAATGGTTCTTTGTATTTTTAGGCTTTTATTATTACACGTGATGTCCCTCCCCTTTATTATTGAGGATGGTATTCTGGTTGCTTAGCTTTCCTAATTGGCAAAGCAATAATTATATACCTGCCATACCTTTGTCCAAATTTTGTAAAATTAATGAATGTAATAGATGTGAAGATGCTTTGAAAATTACAAATGTATATTTATTATTCAAAAACTTGAACTGTTAAGATATTTTCTTGATAGGTGGATATTAAAGCACCAGAGTGTTTGTAACTAGCAGTTTTCTTAAATAATGGAGATCTTGTAAAATACTAGAGAGTTTCCTGAAGCTGTACGAGCATCTGGTGTCTTCCTAAGTATTCATTTCCAATTTGAGTCACTTTTCATGTAGGACATATGGTTTGGATTTGCTTTTCTATATCATAGTAAGGTTTTAGCATATGAAGTTTCCACAGTTACTACTGACTTACTGAAATTCTGTACTCTTTGAAATTTCAGTATCAGGTTGGGCAGCTTTACTCTGTTGCAGAAGCTAGTAAGAATGAGACTGGTGGTGGAGAAGGAATTGAAGTCTTAAAGAATGAACCTTACGAAAAGGATGGAGAAAAGGGACAGTATACACACAAAATTTATCACCTAAAGAGGTAAGCCAGTATTCACATTTGATGCTTAGTTATTCTGTTAAATGGTTAGGCTTTTACTACTCAGCTTACTTTTTAAGCATGTAACTAACCAGATGTGCTGAGGTACTTCTTAAATTTTAATGTGACAATATGTGACGTTTTAATATTCTGAGAGAACTCTTCTCCCACTTTATTGGTTATTTTTATTTTTTTCCATTTTCCCCAATAACTATTGACTTGGATATTTTTAAAAATTTTTTAAAATATATTTTATTGATTATACTATTTAGTTGTTGTCCCAGCTTTTCTCCCTTTGTGGCCCTCTACTTGGTATCCCCTATTCCCTCCAGCAATCCCACCCCCTTAGTTCATGCCCATGGGTCGTGCATGTAAGTTCTTTGGCTACTTCATTTCCTATACTCTTCTTAACATCCCCCTGTCTCTTTTGTACCTACAAATTTGTACTTCTTAATCCTCGTACCTTCCCCCCAAGTTCTCCCTTCCCTCTCACAACTGATACTTCTCCGATGATCTCCCTATCTATGATTTTGTTTCGGTTCTGCTTGTTTGCTTAGTTTGTTTTTTAGATTCAGTTGTTGGTATTTTGAATTTATTACCTTTTAATAATGTTCATAGTTTTGATCTTTTTCTTAAATAAGTCTGTTTAACATTTCATGTAATAATGGCTTGATGATGATGAACTCCTTTCGCTTTACCTTGTCCAGGAAGCACTTTATCTGCCCTTCAATTCTAAATGATAACTTTGTTGGATAGAGTAAGTTAAGTCGTAAGTCCTTGCTTTTCATCATTTTGAACACTTCTTGCCAGTCTGTTCTGGCTGCAAAGTTTCTTAGGAGAAATCAGCTGACAGTCTTATGGAACTGCTTTGTAGGTAACTCTCTGCTTATCTCTTGCTGCTTTTAAGATTCTCTCTTTATCTTTCACCTTTGGCATTTTAGTAATTATGATGTGTCTTCGTGTGGTCCTATTTGGGTCTATCTTGTTTGGGACTCTCTGTACTTCCTGGACTTGTACGTCTATTTCTTTCACCAAGTTAGGGAAGTTTTCTTTCATTAATTTTTCAAATAAGTTTTTCAAATTCTTGCTTTCTCTTCTTTCAGCACCCCATGATTCAAATGTTGGTACATTTGAAGTTGTCCCAGAGACTCCTTAGCCTGTCCTTGTTTTTTTACTCCTTTTTCTTCTTGCTGTTCTGATTGAATATTTTTTCTTCCTTATGTTCCAAATCATTGATTTGATTCTCGACTTCATCCACTCCACTGTTGGTTCCCTTTAAATTTTTCTTTATTTCACTTAGTGTAACCTTCATTTCTGCCTGGATCTTTTTCATGCTGTTCAAGTACCCAAGGAGTTCCTTAAGCATCCTAATAACCAGTGTTTTGAACTCTGCATCTGATTGCTTATCTCCATTTTGTTTAGTCCTTTTTCTGGAGTTTTGTTCCATTCTTTCATTTGGGCCATATATCTCTGTCTCCTCATTTTGGCAGCCTCCCTGAGTTTGTTTCTGTGTATTAGGTAGAGCTGCTTTGGTAGCGTCTTAGTACGCTCCCAAAAGCGTACTAAGTTGTCTTAGTAGCGTGGCCTAATGTAGAAAAGCGCTCTAGTAAGTTGGATGGGCTGGAGCCTTAGGTCTCCAGGTTGCGGCAATCCGTGTGAACCAGGGTAACAGAGCCTCTGCTCTGTGACTCTGTGTGGGGAAGGGCTCAGAAAGGGGACAGTGCTGCCGCCTAGCCTTTGGAGTTTTGTCCGGCAGGAAGCTGTCCCCCAGCACTCACCCTGATGCCAAACACTTCAATTTCTCCTGGTTGCCACTGATGCCCTTCCAGCTGCAGCTCCCGTGCTGAAACCCAAAGGGAGTGAGTCTGCCTAAGTCCTAAGTCTGTTGTGGGCCCTTTAAGAGGAGACTCCTGAGAATTCCACAGTTTCTTCTGCCTCCCCAATCCCCACTGATTTTTTATAGCCAGATATTATGGGGACTTACCTTTCTGGCAGTGGAAATCTGGGCTGAGTGGTTTAGTGTGGGGCTGGGATCCTTCTTTCCCAAGGTATCTGTCCGGATTTTTATATGCCACACCAGAGCGTAGGACCGCCCCTTCGGCGTCTCTGGATCTCTGCACCTCTCCACATGTTTCTGCATCTCCACTCCTCCTACCTATCTGGATGATATGACTTCTTTAATTCCTTGGTTGTTAGACTTCATGCAGCTCGATTTTCTGACGATTCTGGGTGATATTTGTTTTATTGTCTAGTTGTAACTTTTGCCATGGTTGTGCGAGGAGGTGAGTTGTGTTTACCTATGCCTCTATCTTGATTGGAAGTCTGATTATCTTTAAATTTTAGAGTTAATAGATACGCTTATTTAAAAAAATTAGAACAACAGAGAAGATAAAATAAAAACTTAGTTCCCACCTCTTGCCTTCACTTATCTGCAACCCCAAAGAACACTAGGATGATTTAGAGTTTATCCTTCTAAATCATTTTTTATACATATTCAGTATTTTTAAAAAAACACAGATATATGACTTGTATCACTTTGTTTTCTACAGCAAATGAGATCATACTGTATATATGGTTCTGCAGTTTGCTTTATTTGTCATGCATTGATATAACAACATTCTTCCATGTTATTATTTAATGTCCATTTCATGTTTTTTAAAAACTGAGTAAAATTTCTTAGTATAGACTTAGGGAATTTTTGGTGTTTTCCAGTTTTTGTCTGTTCCAAATAATACTTCTCTGAACATGGTTTGTGCATGTTTTATGCCTTAGGTTATTATTTCTCTAGGAGAAATTTATAAAAGCAGGATTGCTCAAAGGACATGGTTCATTTTCCCATGTCTTTTTAAATTTTGCCAATTTGTTGATACACAGAATATAATCTCATTTAAAATTGCATTTCTTTATTAGTGAGGTTGAATGTCTTTTCATATTAGTTGATCATTGAATTTCAGATCCTTTGTTCATTGTTTTTATCTCTGGTTCTAGAAGTTCTTTAGCACATTCTCCTGAGTTTGGCAGTCTGATCTCTAGTGTAAGTACTTTAAAGGAGAAAATGCATACCAATATTTATTCAAGGACAAAAGTCTAGTATAGGCTTTTAAGTGTCTATTTTGTCAGTAGTCTCCCTAGTTTATTAACAATAGGAGGGAGTCTTTGCCTTTCCTTTGTCTGTATTCTCTTAGTATTAAAATGAATAACACCCATGTTTTATAGAGCTCCTTAAAGTTATAGATGAGCTGTGATGATAAGTATTTTTCATATTTTTTCAGTTTAAGGCTACTGCTTAGTTTACAGGAACACTTGAATATTAAGTAGATTATATCACTTTATAGAACCTTAAATTTTATTCTTATTTTCTCTTAGAATGTAGTATTTCTTTGTTTCTGATATAGGTTTGAATGAAGGCAAAAACTCTGATCAGTCAGTTATAAAAACTGTCTTATTCATGGTTTCTATTAATTTGTTTGTACCTTAAGTATATTTAAAATGTATCAAGAGAAAATTTTGGCATAGATGGTATAATTTATATAATATTTATGGTATTGAATTTATTATTTATATCTATTCAGATTTTTTTCACTAGCATTTTACACTTACTCTTTAATCGAATTTTACCAATACATAAAAAAACTTCCTTTATTGTAAAGATTTAATTTGGGATGTTCTAAATTAAACCAAAAAGATTGATATAAAAATTTTTTGTTGGACTGTGGTGTTCTCATGTGAATAAACTTGAAATAAATTCAAAACGTCCTTTATTTGAAAACTAAGAGTTGGAATATTGGAGAAATGTTTGATATGTTATTAAATGGAAAAGACTAGTTGCAAAATGTGTACATAAATATGTAATATGTTACTTTTTTTAAAAAAAAAAGCATAGAAAGAGATTCAGTTAAATGTTAAAATGTTTTTCCCTTGGTGCTGGGATTATGGGTGATTTTAAAATTTCTTAATTCTTTTGTATTTTTGTCTAATGAGAAAAAATTTTTGAAACATTTGAAGTAGATGACACTCCAGCCACAAATAATGAATCTCTTAAGTTGAAGAGGGCTATATAAAAATGGTTAGTGCAAGAGGTACTGTTGTTCTGGAAATCTTATCGGAAGAAGAGAAAAATTTCTCTCAGGCTTGTAGTGGATTAAATAAAGGAAAAAACCTTGGTGCTCTGGAGGCTGTCCTGCCAGTGCACTCAACCTTCTGTAACAACTTCTTCATTCCTAGAAGGAGTTGAAATTATTCCATAGTACCCTTTGGATTCACCTTTTTATGCACTCATTTGTATTTCATTGCAGTTCTGAGAAATAGTCAATGCATACATTGTACATAAGAAGACACTAAGGTGCACATTTACCCAGAGTCACACAGCTAGGTAACAGTGGTAGAACGCTGACCGAGACCTGCATCTTCTGATTTTGGATCCCATGCTCTTAGTCACAAGTAGGCAGTCCCTAGTGCTTGACAGCGAGCACGCAACCCAGTGGACACAGGTGTCCCATGAGAAGGGAGAGAGAGGGCTTGATTGGGTAGTGAGGGCTGTTTATTGCCCTTAAAAGACTGACCTTGTCACGCAATGATGGCAACTGTAGGTGGAAGCATGGAGAGACATGAGACAGGGAAGGAAAGAAGGCAGCAGTAATGGATCTCGGGCAGTGTGGCATATAATAGCCACTCTGACAATAATGAAAGACATCCAGAACTTGCCCATTAATAAAGACAAAGCAGGGACCAGTTGTTGCTGTAGTCTGGAGGAGGGAACAGTCATGGGGTAGGGGCATTCAGATGTCCACACTCAAAGTTACAGTGCCATGTGGAAGGCAGATAGCCACAGAATAATTACATTATGGAAGGGCAAAGAATCATTTAGTAGTGAGTCCTGAGGTCTTCACTGTGCTGTAGGAAAGACTGCAATCATGCCACAAAGCTGGCAGTGCAGCCCTGTCAGACAGAGTGTCCTGCAACAGCATAAGTTCAGCATGCTGAAGACATAACTATAATTCTAA